CCATATGAACAATGCGCATGGTGCAGACTTCAGTCCCAAAGCATTGAGCTTTTATAACAGGTCTTTCAAAAGAGTGGAAATAACCAGCCAAAATAATCTCACTGGGCATTTGGTGATCTGTTTTGTACTCCCTAGGGTAGATGATTTTCTGGGGCTATAAACATTTTATAATATAAAATATATTATTTCTTCCTCTTTTTTTTTTTTCTTTTTTTTCTTTTTTTTTTTTTTTTTTTTGTATAAGCAACTGCCCAGCAAATTGATAAGAGCCCTTTTTAATTAGATAGTGAAGTTATATGGGTAATGTTCCATATAAAAGGTCTATAAACCACAGTAGAATTAATAAAACGACTGCTTCTCGTTTAATTCAGATCCGCAAAAGGAATCCGTATGTCTTGCTTTGGTCTGTTTGTAGTATTTCTCTCCACCACCCAGCCATGAATTGATTAAAATCACATTCCTCACTTAAAACTGGAGCCCAGTTATTAAGAGATACTGAATAGTAATTAAGGTCTGTGCACAGACACATGAACCCCCATAAAAAAAAAATACCAAAAGGAATCATTGTGCATTGCTTGGATTATATGCAAACACAGCTCATGTTGACAGCTACCTCTGGATGACTCCATCAGTACACACTTTATCTCCAGCTGTCCAAGTAATTTTCCCAGGATTTCGCCCCTCTTTTTCACTCCTCTCCACACAGATGGATTAGAGCAACAAACGGTTTACATGCTGCACATCATTAGCTATCCTCCCTCACTACCCAGCAGATAACAACTGGGCTCTATCATCAGGACATTCATAACACCTTGACACTTTTACAACTATGCTGTTCTCTGCCAGAGCAATCTTCTCTTTTAAAGCATGAAGCTAATTCACGAAACACCCGTTGGAAAGTACTCTGCAAATGCAACAGAGGTGGGGGAGAGAAGAAAAAGCACAGCCCAGAAAAGGCATCTAGTAAATAACATAGTTAGCACTGTAAAATATAAAAATCAGAGAAAAGCAGCATATTCTTTCTCTCTAAGCTGTCTCCATATTTTCCCATTGCCTCCATCCCAGAGCGGAGGATATCAGCAGACAGGGATGCATCTGTGTGCCATATTTCAGTGCTTCCATCACTGTGTCATATTCAGTGCCTGGCATCAGCATGGGTCTCTGTGGTTGCAGGCTGAAGGAGGCAGACACGTTGGCTGTGAAGGTTCATGTTCGGGAGCTGTGCTCCTGGCAGTGGTTTGGCTACTTCCCCTGGGGATAGGTTTCTCTAAGGAACCTCATTTGAAAGGGATTGCTTCAGGGATTTGGTCAGTAGTGTGTTTACTGTTGGGTATTGCCAAGAGTTTTCTTAAACTGCCTCCAGTCTCAGGACATCCTGACTCTAAAAGATTTGTTAATAAAACAATGTATTCCCTGCATAGGTTGGGATCCTGCTTCAGAGACCACAGACATGGACTAGAGAATCCTACATCAGTTACTGTGGATAGAAATACATTTTAGCAGCATTTTCCAAGCATCTCAGCATGCCCCCCTGCCGCCCCAACCATACATTTTAATGTATAGTACACGCTTGTTTAAAAAAGAAATACATAAGGAGAAAGAGTAATTACCGTAGCTTAAATTCAACCTGATAAGAAGGGCCTGAACAGTCTGAGCAGCTGTTCCACTGCCATTCAGATTATGAAAATATAATCCTAGAGAACCTTGTCAAGATAAATACAGAGCATGAAATATATAGGCAATTTTTCCCCAGCCACATATAATGATCAATTCCAAAGCCACAAGTGATACCAAAGGACAAAATAAGATCTGTCTAGACTTTCTCACTTACAAGATATTGATCATTCCAATGGTAAACTGGTTAGTATAAGTGTGTTTGGCTTGAAAGGTCATGAGCTTAACACCTGACAAGGAGTTATTCAACCTTGATATAAGTCAAATTATTGCTGTGTTGCTGGGAAGACTTTCTCTAATAAAAATCCCTACCTGGTCTGAGAATATCTGAAATTTGTCTTTCAGATGTCAAAAGAAAAAGGGGGAGGGAAAGAAGAAGTCAAGACTTGGTATGGGTTTGTGCCAGTTCACCCTACCTATAATTTGGAAGTAGAGGTCCCAGCAGTCAGCTGCTTTCTGGGCAGACCATGGCAACATCTGCTGCATGGACAGCAGCAGAAGCTGATGCTGATTGAAATGGCTCCTCAACTCCCCTAAGATCTTCTGGTGGCTCTTCATTTCCAACAAGGGGTTTTGATTGCTCTCCTACAGATCACTTGCAGATCCAGGGCATACATACAGGGGCAAAAACCAATCACATGGGACATGTCAATGTTGGAAGGAAAGCAGAGGGGAGAGGCCCTTCTGCATGTGGGTGGGAAATGATTTGCAGCCTCGCCTTCCAATGCCTCCCCTTCAGACAGTGCTGTGGTGTTTGAGCAATGCAACAGAGACACAGTCCTTACCCAGCCACCTCATTTTTTATGGGGATAACTTGTGAGTGCTTATTAGGACTATTAGGGCTTGATGTAAATTTGCTGGATCTTCTCCAAGCCCTATAAATACCTGATCTATTTTGCTTTATTCAGTTCTTTTTGTTTTGCTGGTATGATACTAGTTAAGGTTAATGGGGTTTGCTTTAATATTAGACACAGGATCACTTAAATACCTTTAATGAACACTGGAGTCAATCTATTGTGAAGTAATTCACACAGACTTTGCCTCAGGTAAATCAACCGGAAAAATGTAAGCCACTCAAATAAATAAATCTGATCAGCTGTAAATATGCCAAATTTTACACCAAAATATATTTGAAAGCCAATGACTTAAACACATCCAGGATATTAAAATGAAGGGTTAGGAGTCCGTTTCTTTTCAGCTGCTTTTCCTTTTTAGTGTCCCCTGCACATCCCTCCTGTCCTGAAATCAAGCTGAGAGTGCAAGAAAAATTATTTTCACAAGTGTTTCTAATAGAAGCAAATGTTCTGCAGCTTTGTGCCATTTATTTAGAGTGAAAATGGTAAAAAACAGGAATAAAACAAAAACCCACCAGCCTTTTTTATGCTGGATATCTCAACATAGGAGAGTGAAAGACAAAGAGGATGACAGAGAGAAAGTGGAGAGAAAGAAAAAGAAGGACAAAGAAAGAATTAGATAAAGAATGAAAGAAAAAGAAACGAACAGAGAGAAAGTAATTTCATCTGATTTGGAGAAAGCTGTGACAGTGAATTTCTAGACAGGGTAATGTACTAGTGACAGTAACTATTTATTAACCAGAAACGGGAAACAGAGGAACCTGACCAACTCAGTGAAGTTAAGGGGGTTAGCTTGCTTCATACTAATGAAAAACTATGTTAACGTTAAGAATGCTTTTACCTGAAATAGTGAGCTGTGTATGGAGCAAAAACACCTCTAGATATTCTTTGAAGGAAGGCAGGCAATCTCTTTAAGTACTGAGTTCTCATAAAAGCATGCAATATTTCAGCAATAAGGAATGACAGGGTGTTCATTATTGGTTATTAATGTTTGCCTAAATGGAGTACAAGGCCCAGGCATTTGGGGGGACTGCAGAGCTCACAGTGTTGCTTAATTACCACCTCTGCTTAACCCAGCAACGCCAAGCTCTGATTCAAAGCTCTGCTGTTGTATACTGGCTGTATGTAAGTATAACAGTAATAATACATAAGCATAATTCTGTTTGGCTGTGAAAAAGGAAATATAATGCATTTACGAAGGCTGTTGCACAGGTGCCTGAAGTTAATCAGTTTTTCTCCTCAGAGGAACTTCAGACAATACAGGAAATTTGGCTATAAGCATCTCCTCAACTTGCAAACACTTTGACCATGCCACTAGTTTTCACACATTACACTATACCAGCGTCTGGTCCATGCAGCACAAAGGAGACATAACTTCCAGGATACATAAAGAGAGGTGGTGTTCTTTCTGAAATAGCCCTTTTATTTTTGTCCACCAAATGTTTCAGCACAGGAGCAAGCTCATTAGGCTATGCTGGCCTTGAAGAAGGGGCTTACTGCAGATCGTAGAGGAAGACAAATGAGCAGGATTATTTACTGATTATTTACTGAATTATTTACTGCTGCTACACAGGTGATGCAGCAGGTGTAAAGTAGGTCATATATTCTTTACTGCAACTTTAGGAAAGACAGTGGCATCAGGTAAGGAAGTGGTCAAATAGTGAGTTGCTGAGGCTGTACTTGGGCAGAAGCTTGAAGGATGCCAAGGGCTTTGGGAAAAAGAGAAAGCCTTCATTTTCTCTGTTTAAAGCCAGGTTAGCTAATTCACCCTAAATCTGAGTGCAGTGGCTCCCAGGTTCCCCTGTTCCACTGAGAAGAAATTTAACTTCACAGATTAAGACTTAATTTACAGATATTTCAACCCTTATGTGCAGAGAATACAGAACATCACCTATCTGAGAGGTGCTAACACTAAATTAGAATTAGTTGTAAACTCAAAAACATAAAGTCAAACCAAATTGTGATATGTTACTGTAAGGTATAGATCTCCTACTTGACAGCATCATAATTCCTTACGTAAGTGTGGTGGGTTTTTTGATGGGAAGATGCTATAGCTACTTCTTCCAGGTGAACGTGTGCCTTGACTTTAACACCTATTCAACAACTAATCAAATGCATAATGATTTCAGACAAAAAAATATCATGGAAGGCAAACTGTTAGCAGTAAGTTGTAAGTAAAAAGAGGATCAAATAAGCTTCTATTAACAATGTATCCTATTTATTTGTTTATATTCTGTCTACAGAAAATGTGATGCTGAAATGGGGATGACTTATGACAACCTTCTGGAATGAAGACAGCTACAAAGCACAAAATACAAAAAATGAACTCAGAACTCAGAAAGAAACAAGAAAAAAACAGCGTTTTCTTGGCATCAACAAGAAGCTCTTTATTTTTCCTCAAGTTTTCTTTTCTAAAAAAAAAAAAAAATTTGGAATTAAGACTGCAGAAATGAGACAAACTTTCTCTTTAGATTACAATATTCAAGCATGTTGTTTTATTGAATTTAAATTGTTAGAAAAAAGATATTTGGAAGGGGATACTGTATCAGCAGAACTGAGAAACTGTGAACTTTCAAAGAAAAAAACCCAACTCCTTAAAACTGTGAACTGAGAAATGGATGGAAATACCATTTAAACCCCTGATTACACTCTGTGTGTTCTTAAGGAGACATCCTCATCTTTGCTAACTCTACAGTATTTAGGGAATGGTTTAAAACATATGTTTTTAGTATAATCTTTTAGGAAAACAAAACCCAGAAAGATTTAATTAGCTGTGACTTTACCATTTCTGTTCAGATGTCTCCTTGCACCTTCTTTTTCCTGACAGTGCAGATGTATTTGCAGCCAGCAGTCAAGAGCACGAAAGATTTCTTTCCTTAATAATCTTTTCATTTGCCACACCCAGTAAAATCCTTGTAGGCAAAAGAATCAACACAGCTACCATCTCCCAGTCAATACCTAAAGCCTAACAGACAGTAATTATCAAAATAAAGAGGAAATCCCATATTAGGCTAAGTACCTACCCTTCAATCAAAACAACAGAAAATATCTGCAGCATTGCTTTTCTAAAATAAGACAAAAGATGCCTCCTTGGGTTACACTTTGAACAGGCTATAATCAAAAGAAAGAGAACCGAGACTAACTAAGCCCCAGGAAGCCGCATTGTCCCTTTAACCCGCAGTATTCCCCATTTCCCATTAGTACTTAACATTTTTCACTATGTTGTGACTGCTATTATTTCATTTAACACTGGTTAATCTGTATCTGAGGTATATGGAAACCCTCTAGATGATAAGATTGGACAGGTTCCAGTGTTGGCAGTTTTCGAGCGTGCACACACTCGTGTGTTTTGATCCTTCCAGGAGCTCCCTGTTATTTGGACTGCCTGCCAATTCGTTCTTGGATCAGCCTCTCGCTCAGCTCCCACAGGGCTGCAGCCGTCGCTTCGCCCTGCGCCTCCTGCGACGGCAGGCAGCGGCAGCAGTTGTTGAAGTACATCCCTCCCAGGCCCTCCAGCTCCGCAGCCGTAGCGCAGTACACAGTTGTGGCCGCTCCTTGTTGCTGGAATTTAAAAAAGAACAAAAAATGAGATATAGAGAAAAAAACACCTACATAAATATAGATAAAGATAGCTATCTTATCATTGTCACGTTGACTGCAGTCCTTTGAAGCTGCATCTTAGGAAAGCGCTGGTGGAAATCACTGCAGCTGACAGGGTAACCTGCCTGGGAACAAGGCTGAAATCCTGCTTAGGGTGCTCCCTGCCTGCCTGTTGGGCACTTAGTTGCTAAACACCTTAGTGAGGACTTTTTTCCTTTTCCTTTCCTCTTAAAAAAAGACAATCCTGAACCACAGCCCCGGTCTTGGGTCTTTTGGCCCTTCTGAGTAAACAACTGATTGGCAGCAGGGTAAGTCTGGCCTAATGTAGCAGGGCAGGGTCTGCCCAGGCAGCTCTCAAAATCAGAGCAGTTGAGCCAGGTATAAAAGCAGCCACTCAAAACTCTCTGGTTTCTTTTTGCAGCTTTACCATATACCTTGGGCACCCCCGCTTCCTAATCCTGACGGGCAATGCAGGCTGATATATGTATTTTGTTTGTTTGGGTTTTTTAAACCTCTTGTACAAAATTAACCTGGGCACTCCAATTAAGACCTATCATGTAAAGTGCAGTCGGGAGTGGTGCCAAACCTGCCCATATATGTTTGATTAACAGTTTCACTGTGGCAGTTGTCACCGCTGCCTTGTACAAACGTTCATCTGCTGCAGGCAGAGAAAGGTTCTGATTTCCCAGAGATGCAGGGCCTTCCAGTGTTTGGAGGTTTTTTGTTCTGTAACAACCATTTCTTATGTCTTCTAATACTTTAAGAAATGGGGTAGAAGTATTGGAGGCTTTTGTGGATCAGGAGATCTTTTTCTTTTCCTCTTTTCCTTTCCTTTTTCTTATCAAGTGAATTATGTTCAAACAGGAAGAATGTGTTTCTCCAAATTTCCCCAACAGAAACCTGGTGACTGAGGCCACAGGGCTGGGATGAGCACCCTGGCACTGGTGATGGGCTACTCCCTGGCACAGATTAAAAGTGTAGTGCCAGAATAGCTGTAAAAGAGGGTTAGAAGCTACTCTACTTTATAAACTCTAATTAAAAATAATAGGTGAGAGCACATAGCAAGACGCAACACTAATTTAAAACCGATAGTTTATCTGGCATCTTATGATTATTTATGTACATCTTAGTCCTCTCTGTGAGGTTATGAGCTGATAGGAATCAGAATAAAGAGGCTGCCAAGTATGATTGAAAAAGTAAATGAAGAGAAATTAGATGTTGCTACATTAGGATAATTTAATGGGGTAAGAGAATAGGCTTAAATCTCTTGTGGTTTTTCCTCCAGTCTTTTTTTGGCCTTTCATTGTCACAACCAAGAAAAGTCAGGGTGCTGTTAGGGGGTCAACCTGCAGAAGACCTCTACTTTGCATTCTCATCCTTCGAGGGAAGCAAGCAGTTTAAAAAGCCCCGGCTCTCCTTGGTTGAGGCATCTCAATTTTGTAACAGCACAGGAAGGCATATTTGTTTGCAAGACATACATTTTTCTCAGAAGATGGGATTAAACTGATAATGACGACTTCACAGCTTAGAAATGATCTCCCATCACAAGGTAAACCAAAACTGTCTGTATTAAGTATTTTGAAAGGCATATATTTATCAAGACCAAAATAGTTTTAAAGTTAGTATAATACATAGTAATCCTCTTATTAAACCAGTATCTTTTTTAAAAAAGAGAAAGTATCTTAAAGGCAGTAGGAGAAATGGAATAGAGTTCTACTAAAAATAATATTAATAGAGAACAATAAAATTCCTATGCTTATTTGAACTATCCTATAAAGCTCCACAGCACAGGTATGATCACTGTATTCAGCTATTTAGAATGATTCAAGGCCCCTAAAGCTTATCATTAGTTTTTTGCAAGCAATTCAACTGGACTTTTATTAGAAAGGTAAAATTAAACTCAATTGCTCAATGCAGAGTGAGAGCCCTTAAGCTATTGCTGAAAAGCATCCATCCAGCCAAGCTAAACTCAGGCAAGCTCTAATAGAATTCAGCTAATTCATGAAATGGAAGTTTATCAGAGAAGTTTAAAATCCAAACCAAACAATAATTTATCTTTTTAAATGAGTCAAATTTGACGACTTTTAAACAAAATTCTCAGCAGGCAGGAAAACGCCCCACAGTATAACAGCAGTGCTTTATACCTTGCACAACCTAGACTTAAAAGAAGAGAATAGTTTTCCCCGTGTGAGCATAGGATATTTACTTTAAGTGATAAAAGATTATGTGGCTGGAAGCCCAAAGCACTTTATCTTATGATGCCTCCAGTGTTTCACTGAGAACTGGATGTAAGCAATGTGCCATTTGCTTTTTGGCTGTGTATATCCTTACTTCTTTCTAAACGTTTCAATCGTGTTGGCTGTTTTGGAAGAAAAAAGTTCAATGGTTCTATCATTGAAGGAAAAATACCTTTTCTTATTGCTTAAGAGAAATGCAGTCATGTTTATCCCTTCGTTGACAGAGGGTAAAGCTTTAATATCTAAGAATAATGGACAAACTCATCAAGCCTAGGAGCTTCCTTCAGACGGCAAAACTACAAAGCAGAAGGTAAATCCCAGATTCTCAAAGCCATTTAAGCATCTAATTTCCTTTGTTGAATGTGAACTAGTTGCATTCAGACACTTGAGGATCTGCCTAAGTGACTTGCTCATGGACAGATGGGAATGAGCGTCACAGAATCATGGGGATATGTCAGGAGGTCTCTTGCCCAACCTCCTGCCCACAGTGGGATGCCTAGGAGCCCTGCATATGTCATGCAGAACTGGAAGGTCCTCAAGGGACAAATTCCTCCTTTGCATCTACCACTCAGATACCACAAACCTCCGTGAAGAGCCAGAGCTGCAGATAACTGCAAAATGCCTGCACTGCCAGCCATGCCGAGCTAGGCTCAGAAACTGCTTAGTTTCTCACTAAATATTATCCCTCATGAACACAGTCTTTTGAATGATATCTTTATATGTTGGGCCTTATGACAGTTTCATAACAAGTTTTAATTTTTTGCTCATCAGCTTTCCTGTCCACATATCATCAGAATACGACAGCAGAGGATGTTAGGGAATCTAATTAGTAAACAATTCCATACTGCTGATACAAGATGAAACATTCTTAAACCGATAAAAAGAGCACTTTAATCACTGTTGAATGACTTTCAATACCAAGCGGTTTGTGCCATGTCAGAACGTAATTTGAAGAAGATTAGAGTACTATATAAAATAATTAATGTTAACAACTTCGTTAAAAAATGTCTTAAACAATGAGCCTGTCAGTTGTCACAGGCTCTCCGTGATCTATTGTGATTAATGCCCCCCCCCCCCCCAACAATCTCAACCGATAAACAATGCTAAAAGAGCTGGGCAACCTAAACATTTCTTTTCCATACGTCCGTCAGTTGTACAGGGTGCTAATCACCGGAGCTGGGGGTCAGCCTTCTTTAACCTGCAACAAAGGCAGTGGGTTGCAATGATGAATACACAGGATAAAGAATTTGTGAGAAGCCCAACTGAATCTTTAATCATGCCTCAATGCCATTTCCGATCCAGTCAAACATTTGAAAGCTGCTAGGCAAGCACCACGCTATCAATCTTTCTAGTGCACATAAAATTACCCGGGAATCTTGTTTTGGATTAAGTTGAAGAGTGTCTTAGTAATAAGGGTTCATCATTCTCTTCTGCAAATCATTTGTCAGTTTTGTAATACAATCTTCAACTGCAGCAGGGTGGGATTTATACAGCAGTTGCTGTTTATTTATAGTTGAGGCTCAAAGATCTAAATTATCCAGCCTTCCAAAATCCTTTGTTGAGATGAAAATACTAAGTAGTTACTAGGCATTTATAGTAGTTCATAGGCATTTATTTCATAACTGCTAGCTGTCAATTTGTAACTGATGGCACTGAATACAAATTAATATTGAATATCTTAATAGTAAAAGAAAAGGGGTTGTGGGGATACAGTATACAGTAAACCCCTCATTAATATATGTAATGCATCCATTAGTAGTCTAAGATACCATTTATGGTCCTGATAAGAAAACATATTATGCAGTTAATGTTTAGTTTTTAGATATGTCTAGTTTTGAATGCATGTTTGTTTTCTAAAATTAGATTCCTGCTCTGAAGCAAGTTTACATACCAAGCATATAAATAATAGAAACAAAGCCATAACTTATCTGTATATGTATCAACTACAAATGAATAAGATCCACTCTAAACTCTGTTAAGGGCACGCAGATTGTGCTAAACAATGCCTGCCAGTGAGATGGGATCAGCTTCCCTGAAAAGGAGGTTTTTATTTTCTTACAAAAAATTAAAGATAAAGGCCTTTTATCTTGGTAGCCTGAGGATAAGTTTAGCAAGTGCATTTTAAAAGATGGTCAGTGGGAAGAGGTGGATTCAAAGTGACATGAGAGGCGAGAATTTGTGACAAGGGCCAGAGTCAAAGCAAGCAGCTTAAGTGAAACAAAAAGGCAAGTGCTTCCTTAAAACTCTTCAGGCTATTCCTGTTATTCATCTCAGGACTATTAGACAAAGCAAACATATCATGTGGGTCTGTTAGGACACAGAAATAATAGACTCGCATGAAAGCATTGCAAATATACCATTTATAGAGGCATAACTCGTTACACAGCGGTGTGAAGATGAGGTAGTATAAACATATTCCAGATCATGGAACCAATAGGGTCTCCCATACCTTCTTTGTGCCTCTGTAAAACACCCTGAAGAGTTCAAATCCATTCTGCTAGAGAGGGAAAAACTCTCCATCGACCATCTTCAAGCAATGGTCATTTCCTGATTTGACATGAAATCTAAAAACTCCTTGGAGTAACAAACACAATGATTTGGAGCCTATGTATTTCCATCATGATCAGTTCCAGATTGTCCAAACCAAACCCTAAAGTTACAGCTGCAGTTTTATATTCCTGAAGCCTCATCTTCACCTGGTGTAAATCCACACAGGTCCATTGC